GGCATTGAAGATGAAACGTGGCTAGGTCTTTCAGCATGACAATGATCCCAAACACACCGCCCGGGCAACGAAGGAGTGGCTTCGTAAGAAGCATTTCAAGGTCCTGGAGTGGCCTAGCCAGTCTCCAGATCTCAACCCCATAGAAAATCTTTGGAGGGAGTTGAAAGTCCGTGTTGCCCAGCAACAGCCCCAAAACATCACTGCTCTAGAGGAGATCTGCATGGAGGAATGGGCCCAAAATACCAGCAACAGTGTGTGAAAACCTTGTGAAGACTTACAGAAAACGTTTGACCTCTGTCATTGCCAACAAAGGGTATATAACAAAGTATTGAGATTAACTTTTGTTATTGACCAAATACTTATTTTCCACCATAATTTGCAAATAAATTCTTTAAAAATCAGACAATGTGATTTTCTTTCTCATTTTGTCTCTCATAGTTGAGGTATACCTAGGATGAAAATTACAGGCCTCTCATTTTTTTAAGTGGGAGAACTTTCACAATTGGTGGCTGACTAAATACTTGTTTGCCCCACTGTATATACAATGGCAGAGGGGCTTTCATTTGGTTTTCCTGTACGTGCAACTAATATGATTCAATATACAGTAAGTCTAACTTCAGTTCATAATTTCATAATTAAATAAATAAATAAATCAGCTTGTTTTACTGAACTGAAGAATACTAATGTTCTTGTTTGTATAAATAACAAATGTTTCATGACATATACAGACCTTAGACCTTAGCTGGCACCAAAGCACAACTTTAAAAATATAAGAAAGAAAGGAAAGTGGCAAGTGTTGTTGTTCAATTGCATTTTGCAGCACAAAGTGATATTTAGAGGCAGAACAGTTGCAACAAAGTCAATAGAAATACAAGAACCGAGACAAAGTGGAACATTTGCTCTGGGCATCTCACATTTAAGGGGAGACGCAGTACATCTGCTTGAGCTGAAAATGTTTCAACTTGAGTGAAAATGTGTGTTTGTTCCGAGTTTCTCTGACACCATGAATATAGACAGAAGCAGAAAGAAGAGTGTCGGAAGAAAATAAGTGGATATCATGGCAACTTTGGCAGTCAGAGCTGTCACACATCAGTTGTCCATTGAATGCTTGAGGACACAAGATTGCAGCCAAAACACAAAAACACCACTCCGGTGGCAAAATGAGCCAAAAACCAAAATCCCTGCAGCACTTTCATACTATTCTACCATTGCCAAAAATGTAGTACATAACGATTCAGATTTGGGTTCAATAGTCAACTGTCACGTTCCTGTTTCAATTAATATCATGTCATGTTTACCTTGAAACTCACTTTGCCTGTCTTTAAACACAAAGTTCTAAAGGCTGCAACAGGTGGAAGCTTCCTTCAAATAAGTACTTCAATCATAAATACATATTATTATTCTTGCAGGCTGAAATCCAAACTTAAGTAAGACTGGCAAAGGGACACGTGATTAGAACTTGGAAAACATTTATTTTTATTTTCAGGTTGCCTTTTCCGGTTATTACCCGTCCCCGTCTGCAGAGTCAAAAACCCTCAAAGTACACCCTGTAGCGCAGGGGTCACCAACCTTTTTTAGGATGAGAGCTACTTTAAAAAAAAAAAAAAACAAGTCGGGGGCTACTTTCACTCCTCTTTTTTTAGTTTTTTGCAGTGTATATATTTAGCACATTTGAACATTATTATATGCTTACCTTTAACCTGTGTGTGCTGTTTGGGTCTGTGGGACCCGTTTTCAGTGTTTACTAAAAGAAAATGTATTCAATTTAATAATTTTGACCTGCTTTATTTGGGGGTGGACCTCACCTCCTCTAGGGGGGTCCGGGGGCATGCTCCCCCGGGAAGATATTTTTTTAAATGTTGAAGTTAAATGCATCAATCTGGTGCACTTTGAGCACAACATGAATTTATGGATACAGCTCTCATTTAGAATATGATCACAACCAATAACAAATCATTTAAACCTCTTTATTCTTATCTTAATGTATGTTACCTAGTTAGCATTCTTTCTTTTTATTTATGCATATTTTACTAATCATTCCCCTTTTAAACTATTTTTTTTTCGGTCCTATAGTACACATTGGAATGATTTCTTACTATCTATATTCAATAGATAAAGGTGTGCTCTCTCTAGCTCTCTCGCTCTCTCGCTCTCTCTCTCTCTGTCTCACTCGCTCACAGACGCTGTGTGCTCCTCCGTGGCGATGACGGCTTGCGTTAAAAAATTATAATAAACATATTTGTAAAGTGGGGGGACACAAACGGGATTTCGAAAAGTGGTGAGGGACATGTCCCCAGTGGAAATTACGCCATGCGTGTGTGTGCGTAAAGTGCAATAAATAAATATGCAAGTTGCAACACACACAGTAAAACTCTGCCCCTCATGTACTGTATAGGCTGGCACGACTAGGCTGTTCAATGGGACTGATGTGTTGTGTAGATTCTGCCAGAAGGAAAATCACGGTCAAACTCCTTATGAAGCGGTGAGCTACCGCTCCACATTGATTTTCTTCCCGACTGCAACGCTGGTCCCGCAAATCAAGCAAGAATGTGATTGGTCGATATTCATTGTGGGGGTGGGGGGAGGAAGGGTGTTAGATAAGATAGAGTTGTAGTAAGTAGATAGAGTTCGCGACGAATGAGATTTCGTTTATGCATTGGGTAGATTCTCGTTGTTTCCTTTTTTGTTTTGTGTATTTCTTACATTTTGGATTTGCTTGGCGAGCTATTTTAGAACATGCCCCGCGAGCGACTCACGTTGCCCCTGCGGGCGACTAAGTGCCCGCGGGCACCGTGTTGGCTACCCCTGCTGTAGCGAGTAAAACTCTAACACAGAAAATACCTGTCTATGTTGCCCCAGAACACCTCGTTGGAGATTTCTCTTTTTCTTCCTGGGTACAGTGACGTGCCCATACCCAAATGGACCAATCCGTGGAGCCCTTACGTTACGTCACGTCCGCGGAGCCGTTACGTTAAGTCCGTGGATTGGTCCAAATTGACCAATCAGCGGACTTCCTCACACACACACACTCAATCTTTTCTCAGCTGCAGCTCCGCCGATTTCTCCTCCCTGAGACGGCGGGACGCGGCGAGGCTGTGAGTCGGTGTGTGTTCGGGCTGGGTTTAGCTGTGTCCCGCTGTTTCGCAGGCGGCCACTGGGCTCATAGGGAGGGGGGGGCAGGAGCTCCAACAAGCCGTTTAGGACAGAGAGTGAATACACATACTATACAGAGATGCTGTATGAGAAACCAATGCGATTTTGGAAAATTGCACAATATAAATCTATTTTAGCAATGGAATTATGATCAGTAGAAATGGCCATGACATGGGCCCTTTAAAGGCCCTGTCACACTGTCCCGAAATTGACACCCGATGGACACACGATAAAGGAAATGTTCAAATTCGGCTGTGATCGTAGCAACATCGGGCCATTCGTGAGGGCATCTAAGCCATCGTATGACCGCCGGTGGAGTTTCTCAGGCTCCGGCAGCAACTTCGTGAGCGGCAACTTCGTAAGGCACTCGTGACGGCATCTTGTCAAATCGTGTCATCTTCGTGTTATCATCGGTGCATTCACCCTCACTCTGATCGGGGCGAATGCCCGATGGCACCGATGATAACAAGATGCCCTCACGATGGCCTTACGAAGGGCAAAATTGACACACGAATTCAACACGAAAATGAACCTTCGCAAGGTCCTTCGGCAATTTTTTGGCATGCCAAAGATTTTGCCACCGCTCACGAAGTTGCTGCCGGAGCCTGAGAAACTCCACCGGCGGTCATACGATGGCTTAAGATGCCCTCACGAATGGCCCGATGTTGCTACGATCACAGCCGAATTTGAACATTTCCTTTATCGTGTGTCCATCGGGTTGTTTTATTGCACAACAAAATCATGTAAATATATTATGTAAAAAACCCAATTTGTGTTCTGTGAAACTGAAAAGGATATAATATATTATTTTGAAGGACAGTTGACAGGAAGTTGTTGTTGTTATGGAAACAACATTACGGAGAAAACGTAATATTTTCGACATATAACGACGGATAAAGTAAAGAACAAAGTCTGAAGATATCAGTACAGTATCATAGTACTGTAACATAATTGTTTTTGGTACTTTCATTGCAGTTGTATGTCTTAAATGTAATGTAAATGTTGCCTTCGTGCGAAATTCACAATTCCATATTCGTGTGTCCATCGGGTGTCAATTTCGGGACAGTGTGACAGGGCCTTAAAGGAAATGTCCTCAGAGTTAACTTCATTTCGATCACAGATATTCTGCCTCGGTTAAAGGTGAGGAAATAAACATACACCTGCTTTTTTTGGTCAGGGTGCCATGAAATGTAAAATTATTATCTTATTAGATAGTCAAGTAGTAACTATTTTTTCTTCGTGTTGGCCTTGTCTCTACAGTCAGAATAAAAAATCCTGCGAAATATCTCTTACCTACTCAAGGAGCCCAGTTTCAGCACCAGCAAAGGGGTTCAATAAAGTACTAAGTCGGACAATGCAATAATCAAAGTGTACAAGCCTCTTACCTACTCTTTACTCATCTGCAATGGATCAGAAGATGGAAACATTTACACACTACTTATATCCTAGTATAGGTGGGTTTGTTATGGGAAAACAAGCTAAAAATAGACACAAGTAGGCCTTTCAGGATTGGGCCAATGGACGATTATACGGGCTATCAGGTGTTAAGTGTTTGTCCCAGAATTGAATACTTGTTGTAGCCATTTCTACCTGGGTTAGAGGGATTTTTGTCCAGTGAGGAAGGGGCTTTTTACTGTTGAATACACAACTCTGCCATTACATGTGAACACAATTAAAGTACAAAAGATACATGATTACATTGGCATTTTTGAGTGACATTGTTTGGCAGACACAGTAATAACCATCCATTTACTTCAATGTTGAAATGTTTCATTTATTGTGTTTGTGCTATCTTCCACCCCCTGTTAGTTTGTGTATGTTCGACAGTATGGAGCAGCCTACAGTACCTGTTTGGTCCTCTCCCGCAGGTCTTTATCTTCATAATGGGGGTGGTTGGTGAGAACTCTGCCTGTGCACAGCTTGATGCCAGCCAGAAGCTGCATGCTGCCGGCAAATACAGCCCGCTTAGGGGTCTTTGTGCTGAGGAAAACAGAGAGAAGGACACATCATTCACCGCTGTAAATATATAGATAAAATATACCATGGCAACTGGAGTGGGTTTAAAACAAGAGATGAGTGATAAAAAAGAAAATATAGCAGAAAGATGTTTTGCAGTTTGAAGGAGATTAAAAAGTTTGGAGGGTATTCAGAGGAACATGCAGTCATCAAAAAGTTTGATTGAATTTGACTTTAATTTATTTTTTTCTAGCTTCGTTATTCAGTCCACATTCCTTTGCTTTTTTGCATCATCCCCAATAATTGGGAAATATTGATGGTATTTAAATGGTTTCTTTCTCAAATCTGTCTTCAAGGACAGAAAGTGGTTAGATAACGGCCAAATAAAAATAAAAATAAACTTTAAATCTCAGAGATTACAAAAACTGTCGGTTTACGCTGATTAAGAACAAACCATCGGGAAACCATGTGAGGCTTTAGGATTTTAGCAAGTTATACGAGAGCTGGTTTTGTGTGTGTGTGTGTGTGTGTGTGTGTGTGTGTTTGTTTATTTGCATGCGTTACCAGACCTTTTTATGCAGGGAGACAAACTCAAAAAGGGTAAGAAGGGGATAAGGATTAGGAGGAGCTCCCCTGGGATGATACAAACTAAATAATTAGCAGGAGAATGATATTGACATTAGATTGGGTCATTACATATTGTTCGATTGAATAAAGACTGTATAATTTGTTGCGTGATAAAAAAACAAATGACATTGTGATGATAGCAAGAAAGCTGAATTGCTATTGGCTCCACAGTGGAGTTAGTTCTCGAAAGGTAAGAACTTGGATCAAACAGAAAGCGTCTTAGACCCCATTTACACGCAAACGCAAATGCATACGAAACGCAAACAAACATAATACGATATCAAATAAGTCTTCCGTTCAAACGAGACCGCTCGGCAGCGCTGGAGTACATATGCCGGGCCTGTAAGTGGCGCTGTACTTTTGCCACAAAATACACCAAAAGCAGCGAAGAAGACCCCCGAGCATGGTTGCCATGGTTTCCCTTCTGTTTATGCCCCGCGGTGGATTTAGCAACATGTAGTTCATGTAATTCTCCATGTCCACTTGTTGCTGATGGTTGTGGTAGAGGAGCTGTAGATTTTGCACTAACATCTGTAGCATGGTCAGTAGCAGTATATAAAACATGTCTGTGAAGTTTTTTTTTTCAAAATACCAAACAGATCACCCATTGTAGCCATCTCTCATACTGTTCAAACCCCTGTTTTGAAGCCCTGTTAGAGAAAGGCAGATTTTGGGTCCTTAGCTTGAAAAAAAGAAAGAAGAGGAGGCGGAGCTAATGCCTGATCAGAATTCTACCGGAGATAAAGTTAAATTCTGCTGTGATAAAACGGCATCCTGTTTAAACCACGTCAAGGATTATTTCTGAAACAGTATGGAGCTCAAATGCTTTTTCTCCTGCAGGTTTATCACAAGGTGAGTTCCTTTTTTTATTTCCTGCTTTTTAAACACATGTGCTCTCCAGTACAGGTTAGCTCTGAGTGTTAGCGAGGCTTGCTAATATAAACAAAGACGAGATTTCGTCCAAAACACGTCAGGCATTGTTTCTGATGGCAACGTTCTGTGGGTCCGCCACCAATTATTCCGGGCTGACGTCAGCTCGGATGGAATCTGTATCCGCTCGTTGTACACCCGTTTTTAAAAGACTTGGGTACGGAGGAAAAGAGAGAGAGTTGTATTTTCTGATGCTGCGTGAGTTCCCCGACACACCGGGGACACATATGTATGTATAAAAGACATCACAAAGTGAATTTTGCATGAAAGGTCCCCTTTAAAAAAAATAAAAAAAAATAAAAATGTTTTATTTAAATTTCATAACAAAACAATTTCCCGATTTTGGATCAACAAAGTACATCCTATTATCTTATCTTAACAGAACTACGCCTATATTGCATACAGCGCCCATAAACTCAAGTGTCATTTTTTAATGTGGAAGTAGATTACAGCCTTCACTTGATTAGGACAGCTCTCTCTGCTGTAATTAATGTAAATTACAGTAAAAACCAGAGGTTTATGTGAAATTGTTCTTTTCTTGAAATAATGGTTTTTGTGTGCAATTATAGGTTTTAATTTTGTAATTGTGTTATTTTAAAAGAGGGGGGGGGGGGGGGTTGAAATGCTCCCCATTTCTGAGATCTCAAGGTTGGCAAGTATGCTTCCGCCTGTTGAATCGGGAGGCCGTCGGCCAAATAAATCACTCTGATTGGCTGTTCAGCTTAGCGAATCAGTGCATGAAAAGCGAAACGGAAGTGAGGGACCCAAACAAACTATTAAGAAGGCAAATCTGAGATTTAATTTACCTCCAGCTCTCGACTCAGGTTCGGGAAAGCCCCATGAGCTTCTCGCTGTAGAGTGAAAATGGAACGCACACGCTATTTGTTGTTTGTTTATATCACGCAGTCTGTTCTTCTCTCGGTTATCACGCAGTCTGTCTTCCGGTTGTTGCCTCTTTTGAATGACGAATACACACTACCGCCGCCTGCTGGTAAGGAGAGTTATTGCCACTCACGCATGCGCAGTTCGTACGCGCTACTTGGACGTCGGCTGAAGTCTTTGCGGTGTGTTCCAGTGCGACACATGGCCAAGACGCAGGAGACGTGAGCGTCGGGACGTGTTCTTTGGTGTTCTTTGGTGTCAGTTTGGTGTGTAAGAGGCTTTAGACCAGGGGTGGGGAACCTTTTTCCTCTCAAGGGCCATTTCAATTTTTTCAACATCCTCCGAGGGCCGCACAAATTATTGACCTCTGATTAAAATCACAGCCCATTTCATTTGGCCTTTCTTTCATGCTGTGCAAATAAAAAGCAACCTCTTAATCCAGATATCTTGCCATGACTCGCGCATGCATGCACGTGCACGGTGTGGCATGACCACCCAAACAGAAAGATATGGACACAAGATGTGTGCAAATGTATTTAGTTTCCTATCCATGTGGACATGATTTAAGTGTTGGGGGGGGATCTAACCTCCTCTAGGGCGGTCCAGGGGGGCAAGCTCCCCCGGGAAGATTTATTTTTAAATATTGAAGTTAAAAGCATCAATCTGGTGCACTTTGAGAGCAAAATGAAGAGATCTATGGATACATCTCTCAACACCCATATGAAACAGAACTGTAAACAGATTTACTTTTTCTTTATGGATATTTTACAAATCACTCTCCTTTCAAACTGTATTCTTGTTTATTTATAACAACTTTTTGTTACTATCATATAGTATTTTATACCTGTTTACTATATTCTCTTATGTTTTGATAACTATAATGATCATATAAAGATGTGCCTTTACCTCACTGGTTGGAGAAAACGCTTCTTATATTCGTTAGCATAGCAAGCTAACCAGATGCTAATAACAACAAAGTTATGATCAGAATGACAGATGAACAGATCACCACTGGGCTTTCAACTAAAGACACAGCCACGCAAAAACTGCAGCATGTGTACGGACTTATGGGTACTGCCATTTTTTGAAGTCCCGGAGCGGCGTTCTGGTGCTCTCCGTCAGAATTGCACCCCTGTCAGACGAGACATATACCACGTGATGACAAGTTAGTCTCGTGTTGTGTTCAAGGACCATGACCGTTACCAGGAAAAACAGGCACTCGCTTGTTTAATTATTTTGCGGTCTAGATTTCTTTATTTTTTTTATTTTTTGCGTGTGTTTAGAAATTACCTCGAGGGCCATACCAAATGGTCTCGCGGGCCGTATACGGCCCGGGGGCCGGAGGTTCCCCACCCCTGCTTTAGACCTACAGTAGGCGATCGACACTAGAGAAAAATAGCCCGGACCTTTTCAGTGACTAATGCTCCTCTGGTTGAGTCTGAACCTTGCCATGAATGCATGGAAGTGTACGTTTCTCTACTGGTAACAACCTTTAACATCTTGTTATTATGTGTGCCCCTACAGGCTCAACAGGAAATCGTCATTTGGGTAAATGTGCGACAGTCCTGGCAAAATAAGAGCCTGTCAAAATGAATGCAGCTGTGTCCTGTGTGTAGATGTTTGTTTGTGTATGTGCGGAGGCAGGCACAAGTCACAGCAACAAATGGCAGAGCCTACAAAAATAATAAATATTTTGTAGGTAAAAAGAAGACTTTAGGGTACACTTTCTGTATTAGGCAACTACACGATGTGCACTTCAGATTTGTGATCAATTTTGTTTGGTTGGCTTTTTCAACAAATAAAACTAAAACACTTCTTCTCTAAACATGTTTTTTCATGTCTTCAAGATTTTTGTTATTGCAAAAATACTTAGATGCTGTATTTATCTATTAGAAACTTGTAGTAATCTGGACTGCAAAATGACGGCATTTTTTTGTTGTTGCAAATTTCCGTTCGCACCATTGTTGTATGTTGTTTACAGGAAAAAGGCAATAAGAAGGACAGAATCTGAGAATAAAGCCATCATGCTCTCCCCTCTCTGTGACCCGTATGACTCATTCATTTCAAACATCATCCCGATCCTGATGCCTGTCTTCCCTGCGAATGTGTGGGCCTGTAAACCTTATTGAGATGGCATACTGTGATTCGAGGCAAGCTTGGAAAAAGTCTCCTGTCACATGCTACAATGTTTAAAGCCATGCAGAGTTGCAGAAGTTTATTCTTTTTGTAAAACAACTTGGATTACAATGCGCTGAGAGGTCAAGGCAGTTTTGGCAAAAAATGCTAATAATATACTGCCAACCCCAGCTTTCATATCCTTTCAACAATGATTCCTAAATTGCTGAAAATGTCAATATTCTACCCACAGACCTCACTGCAACAATGCTTTTCTGACACCAGAAATCCATCATATCATCAGCAAACCATTATTAAAATAAATATTGGAATGTTTTTACACATGTTAATGAGGAAGAAGACGCTTCAAACCCCAATAAGAAGTGGCCAAACCCACACACATGCATGACATGGCTACATCATTATTAATAAAAATGGCCAGGTTACAGTCCATTGACACAGAAATACTA